GAGGCCTGGCTCACTCAGCGCCTCCGTGCTGCGGACACTGGGGCTGCTCTTCCTGCACGTCCCGGGTTCAGAGTCGCAGGACCTGGGAGTTGTGTGCTACCCTGGGCTTCAGGTAGAGTCTCTGTGTCTTGTGCTGCTCAGTGGGGGCATTTTAGTGCAAGCCCAGCGAACGCCCCTGCCCTCCTGAGAGGACGGGGAGGGCCTGACCCCTCGGTGCCCTGCCCAGCCGTGTTTGATGGCCGCACGGTCTGCCCTGCTGGAAAGTGCTCCTTGCCCTCCATGTTAGGGGCAAGCATCTGTGAGTGTCAGCGCTGAGCAGATGCGGGGCCCCGGGCCTGGGGAACCATGTGGCCACCCACGTGCCCCTCACCTGCTTTGCAGCTCCCAACGTCCTGCCCAACACCACTGGGCCTGCAGTTTAACTTACAAACGGCCTTGACCCGCACAGAACACTGGTGCCTGGGTGGGGCAGGCGTTTAAAAAAGGATTTCACTTCATTTTCGAGACGAGCAGCTGAGACCTAGAGAAGCTACGTACCCTCCCGAGAGTCACATTGTAGGCAGAGATCCCCCCCATCCACTCTCACCTGGACCCACACCCCTGCTTCTGCCGCCTGCCTCAGCAGGAGTGGGAGGTTCGGAGGACTGGGAGTGAGCCAGCCTGGTCCCCGAGGAGTCTGGAGGGCGCTGGTGGCCTGCTGCGAGGCCTGCATGTCACTCAGGCATTTCGCCAGGTGCTGGTGGCCTGTTCCGATCTGCATGGAGGGATGAAAGCCCATCCAGAGCTCCCGGGCCTGAGCAGCCACGTGAGTGGGGGTTTCTCAGAGCTGCATATCTGAAGGAGCCCACCCCTGGACACCCGTGCCCGCTGTTGTCCACCCAGGCCCTGGTCACTGCCTGTGGATCTCCCCTCTTAAACAATACTTCCTTACGGTATTCCAACGTGGCCACGTTTTCCATGGAGGGAAGAAACCTACCGTCTTCTTCACCTTGTTTTCTCTGGATGGTGCCCTTCGGCTGGCCCCGCAGAGGCTCTGTCACGGCACCTCCCAGAGGCCTGGTGGTAGAAGTGAGGGTGACGAAGCCCTCCCAAGTGGAAGTGAGTGGTTCCCATGGAAGGTGACTGGCTTGATTTAGCCCTCCAGATGAATGCATGTGCTGGACAGCTGCCCATCATATTAATTAATGGACCCACTTGCAATCCACGGTTACTAACTGGATGCCTATATGTGCCAGGCTCTGTGTGAGCTGCTGGAACAAAACAGATCACGTCCTCCCCTCATGAAGCTCTCACTTCAGTGGGGTGAGGGACCGCAGGCCAGGAAGGACGGAAAGAAGTAGAGTAAGGTAGAGTGCGCCATGAAGAGCCAGACATGGGGTGAAGGGATGGGGTGCAACCTGTAGAGAGGACACCTTCCTGTTCCCAGAAGACATGGCTGGGAGTCCTCTCTCTGGGTTTTAGCAGCAGAAAGGGTCCCCGGCGCTTCCAGTGGGCACCCTGTCCCTGCCCTGGAGTGATGGGGGGAGGCTGTCATGAGGCCACTCCGTCCCCCACTGTTGTTGCTATCACCAAGGTCACAGAAGGGAGCCTTGGCAGGCACCACGGATGTCTGCAGGGCCCGAGGTTCTGCGGAGCGGCTCTGCGGGCTGGTACCTGGCTGTGGTCTCTCCAGGTGCCCTCTTTCATCATGCCTCTCTCCTGCTGAGTGTAGGGTGCTCGGAGCTGTGCTGTTCCAGCTCCCAGGACCACAGGGAGCCAACTCCAGGCACTTACCTCATTTGCACTGAACCCTGTGCCACCAAATCTAATTAGTTGTCCCTTCTCCTCCACAATCCTTGCCTCCCTCCTCTGCTTTGCACGTCGCCTGCCAGCTGGAAAGGAGGAGCAATGGCAGACCTTCCCCAGGGAATGCGCGACTCAACGAAGCAAACGCAATGTAACGATTCCTGAAATATTAGTGGTTTAGTTTTAAACGCTGTAATATTTTTCAAGTGAAGGAGGAATCTATAAATCACCATTGACTGAAGATATTAGTTTAAGATGTAATTATGAAATGTATTTTTATGTCCCATCTTTACTGTCTCATTACATAGTCCCTAAATATACAGAATTTTCTGCACCTTCATTTATCATTTGTCAAAAAATAATATTGCTGTTTTGTTTCTTGTTACTTTAAGTGGGAAAAGATGAATCAGGCCCTTCAAAAACCTCAGGTTGCAGCAACATTTAAATCTAGAAGAGAAATCTCTCATCTCTTTTTGAATCAGAGCTAATTTGTTCCCTTTGCGATCACGATACAGTAGATGCAAGGGTTCCTATGGGAGGAAAAGGATTGGGGGCGCTAACTCATCTTATGAAAAATGACAGTGCTTAGTTCTGGAGGCGCCACTTATGCAGATGTTATTGGTACTAAAGTGTTTATCACTGTGAGCACGAGAGCTGTAACCATGCACATTTCAGGTTCGTTAGACGCTCGCTGTCCGGTGTCAGGCTCCGGTGCTAATGGTCATGAAACATTTTTAAAGTATTGGCTTGAGCCTCAGGAAACTCCTACCCCTCCCAGTGGTCCTACCTTTTAGGAGCTCCTCTGAAAAAAAGGGCTCCTGTGATGTTGATTAAAGTGTGAATTGCTCCCTGATGCAGTACGAGGCACCCCACTTACTCTCTTATCATCTGGGCCCTCACGGGTTACAATGGATGGCTCCAGACAGGCCCTGGACATTGAAGCACTCAATGCCTCTGCTGTTACGGACATCCGCAGCAAATCTGGGATAGAGGAAAACAATTCTACTGATTTAGGTCACAGAGTGATCAGTCGAGCAAGGCTTGCAAAGCCGGCATCCTCGCCTCCCAGATGGAGGTGAGATTGCAGGGCTCCGGGGGGACCCTGCTCAGGCTCCAGAGAAATCGAGAGGAGGCTGCTCCAGGGTCCGCAGAGGCCAAGTCAGGTGACCAGATTGACCTGAAATGAGGGCTGATTCATGTGTATAATAGGTAGATGGATGGCTATCTATATGGCTATCCACTGGACTGAGGAGTTTTCAAGATTTTTCCTTCCTACAGCTAGAGGGTGTTATTTATTTGTTTGTTTTTAGTTTTGGCTAGAAGTTGGCCGGCGTTTTGTAAGGTGCATGGCACAAGGGGATAATCAGCTTGTGTTTTCACTTCGAGTTGGTCTATATCATGAATTTCTATCTATCTATCTATCTATCTATCTATCTATCTATCTATCTATCTATCTATTTATCTATCATCTATCTACCTATTATCTATCATCTATCTACCTATTATCTATCTATCTATTTGTCTATCTATCTGTCTATCTATCTATATCTATCTATCATCTATCTACCTATCATCTATCTATCTATCTATCTATCTATCTATCTATCTGTCTGTCTGTCTATCTATCTATCTATCTATCTATCTATCTGTCTGTCTGTCTGTCTGTCTATCTATCTATCTATATCTATCTATCATCTATATCTATCTATCATCTACATCTATCTATCATCTATCTACCTATCATCTATCTATCTATCTATCTATCTATCTATCTATCTATATCTATCTAGCTCTATCTATCTACCTACCTAAGAGACAAAAAGCAGAGCGAGCTGGAGAGAACAACCTGCCTCACTTCTCAGCCATCTCAGCATCCTCCGTCCTCTGTGCAGCCTGAATATTTCTATCCAAAGTCACTGAGAGAGGAGGTGAATGAATGAACTACATTTAGGTTAATGATGCATTCAGGCTGCCTGGTGACAGAGTTAGGAATAGAGTCCTCTTCCTCTTCCCTAGCTGGGGCTTTCTCTTCTGCCTCAATGTTCCCGATTTCCCTGTCCCTAAGCGGGACGTGCCCCTCACACTGCTGGGCTCCAGGTACAAACCTAGGTGGCAGTGAGTCCAGGTACCAAGCGGTGGGTCCTGTCTCCAGTTCTGCCTTGAGCTAACTTGAGAGCCTGTTTTTCACTTCACCTGTAGACAAAGTAGTTGGGTCTCAACTTGGACTGCATCTTAGAACCACCTGAGGACCTTTTAGGAAAGCAGGCTGCCTGACCCCACCCCAGGCACACGGGTCACCTAACCCCGCCCTGCTCTCAGACTTTTCTCAGGTGGCTGTGCGAAGGGGCAGCCTGAGTATGCAGTGGGCCCTGAGTCGGTGGGGTTTTTTTTAAAGACACTTTTGGTGGTCTCTATGATTAGCTTTCACTGGACTGAGGAGTTTTCAAGATTTTTCCTTCCTACAGCTAGAGGGTGTTATTTATTTGTTTGTTTTTAGTTTTGGCTTGAAGTTGGCCGGCGTTTTGTAAGGTGCATGGCACAAGGGGATAATCAGCTTGTGTTTTCACTTTGAGTTGGCTTATATCATGACAGTATGAATTAGTTAAATCCTTCTGCCTTAGCAAACCAATTACTAAGCCTCCCTTGTTGGAACAAAATGTAAGACTGGTGGAAATTCAGCCTAACTGTGAAGGTCAAATGCTGTCATCCATTCATGACAATGATGAAAACAGAAGCCCTAGTTCAGTAAGCCACTGTCACCGGCAGTAGGAGTATACACAGAAACTCAGTGACTTTAACTCTGAACTGTGGCGAGTATCAGCTACCATTAGGTCCATATCTGTAACACTATTTGAATTGTATCTACATGCGCTACCAGGACAAAGTAACCGTGCAGTTAATATGTTTAACACTCTTTGTAGACCTTGGCCATGAGAAACAGAGGATCAGGTACAGAAAATACCTGAGATGTTGAGACCGTGTCCTTGAGTTTTGTCACAGCTGCAGGCGTAGAATTCAGGCAGCCGGACAACAGCTGGTTCTGATGAGGGTCAGGACGCGCGCCGCTGGGCTTGAGTTTGCAGACTGGGTGTCGTGCTGTGGGTGGCGAATGTGCGCTCTGCTGGCCCGGCGGCTGCTCCTCCGGAGCTGCTGTCTGCCTTCCTGCTTGCTTTCAGCTCAGTGACGGACTTATGTCTGTGCTTTTCTTGCTACAGATGGGCAGAAGAAAGTTCAAGAAGAATTTGACATCGACATGGATGCGCCAGAGACAGAGCGTGCCGCGGTGGCCATTCAGTCTCAGTTCAGGAAATTCCAGAAGAAAAAGGCCGGGTCCCAGTCCTAGTGGGAGAGCCCCTTCCTAGTCTTCCAGAAGACACCAAATTCAACCATCATCTATCTGTCAAGAAATTAAAGGAAACACCCTAGAGAGCAATCATCTGCCTACAATCCACACACACAGCAGTCCCACAATGCATGTACAGAGACCCGTGATATTTAAACCCTCTTAGGAACGCGTAGACAGTGCAGTTGTCAGTGGCTGAATCTCTGTTCATCCCCAGTATCACCCCTCCAGCAACTACTCTCCTTGATGTTGTAATAAAATGGAGTTAAGATGCGTGATTCAAGTGTCTGCCTTCGTCTCTCTCTTTGTATTGATCTGGAAAGTCCTCACTGTTAGGGACGGCCTCACGTCTGATGTTTGTTTTCTCCTCTCCTTCAGGCTAGAGCTGAAACATGGTGCCTCAGGTAGGGTCTTTTCTGCTGAGAATTGAGAGACCCATTCTCAGCCGCGCCTGTCTCGTTTGGCGAGTACTAACTGCCGACTGGCGATCGCAATACGTTTTCTTCTTGTGATGGGAATAGAGCCCCGGAGCCTGGGGTGCTGAACATTCAGAAGTTTCACTGGGGAATTATGACTCACCCAGGAGACCGATGGGGAGGGTGATGCATATGTGTTTGGCATGTGTCACCTGGGTTAACCCAGCAGGTGCCTTTCCGAACTCCGAAGGGGACGCCCCCACCATTGAAGGCCGTTCTGCCGCTTACCTGCCGGGCACAAGGGGGACGGTGGTTCTTCCCTCTCCCCTGCCTCCCCAAGCTCCACACACTGTAATTTAGGGTTATTTTCCACAGTCTGCAATTTGGAGAAGCTGTCTGGCTTCCTTTCCACCTTACCTCCTCCCCTGCATACCTCACAGGTAAATTGCTTTGCACAGCTCGTCTCAAAGGCTCCACAGTCAGCGAGGGGAGGTCCATCAGGGAGGGAGGACGGCTCCTCAGAGTGTGCGCCTGCCTTCGGCCCCAGGTGGCAGGCATCCCTAGCCCCAAGTCCGACTGTTGTTTGAGCTTTGTCACGCGAGGACCTGTGTGGAAGTTGCGTGTCATCCTCAGCACCCAGAGATGCTTCATAGCAGCACAGTGTTCCACTGTGGGGCAAATGATTTCTTTCTTTGCCACCTCCTTCACCAAGGATTCAGGTGGAGTGTGAAGGATGGTGGAAAGAGGAGAGACAGTGTGTGTGTGTGTGTGTGTGTGTGTGTGTGTGTGTGTGTGCGCGCGCGCGCACGCGCGCACATGCACGCCTGGGGTGCGGGTGTAAAGTATGGTGAAAGCAACCGCGTGCAAGCTGATGACTGGGGTGGGGGTGATGAGGCTCCCCTGGCAAAGCCCCATTTGCCATCACGAAGGTACAGATGGAAAAAGATTGGCACAGTTGGGAGGATTAACTGTCTCAAAAATTCCCCCTGAAAATGTGCTGATTGTTTTGTGTAAGGCGATTTCTCCTGGGTGAGTCTCTGTAGGGGCTGCTAGGGGTGCGGGGAGAAGCTCTGGGTTTCCTCCGATGGGTTCCTAATTAAAGAAGCACTAAATGGAATTGCTTCAGCACTAGGAGCAAGCCAGGGCTCCTACGGGCTCCAGTCGGCCTGTAGTCCCCATTGAAAAGAGGACAGCAGGTTGAGGGGACACTCCATAGGAAGCCTCCAGAGATGGGGGGTGGGTACGAATGCCACAGAAATGAGAAGGGTTGTGACGTCGTCTTCTTTGGAGTTCCCTGCAGTGCCACACCAACCGAAGGAAAGTTGGGAACAAAACAAGCACTTACATAATTCAGGTGAAGTCCCTCCACACCCATCCTCCCAGCACCCCCGCTGTTCCCTCACTTTTGAGTGTTTCCCACAAGGAAAGTGGGCGTCCCTTACTGGGTGCATCTGGCCCTGATGGCTGAGGTGGGTCTCTTCCGGCTGTGATCCACCCGGAAGCAGATGCAAAGCAGAAAATCCTCGGGGATGGTTCTTCTCCGATGTTCCGAGGGGACAGGAAGCACTCCCTCCATGGTAATGGCCCATTGGTGCAGAAGGAGGCCAGTGGGCTGAGGGCTGTGATGTTTGGGGAGGCCCCTCGAGGGTTCTGAAGCACCTCCCTCATTCTAATCACAGCACAAGGGAAACTCTGCCTTTCTCTGAGCCACAGGTTGAAGTTCAGTTGTTGCTTCTCAGGTGGACTCACGAGTGTGTCAAACTCCAGTTCCCAGCAAGGGGAAGACTTCAACTGTGGCCCTCTGCACAGGCACTGGGTATGCTGTCTGTGGGCTTGTAGAGCCAGAGGAATGAGAAGTGTCTCATGGCTCCAGGCTTTGGAGGGCCTTTGCATTCCTGTGGGCTGCAGTGTTCATCCTAGAAGGAAGGGGGAGGGGGGGACATCCCAGGGTGCACCCGAATGGGGCTGCACAGGGTGTCAGCACGTAGGAGCACCACTAATTCAATTTCGTTTCACACACATTTACTGGACTCCTACTGTGAGTATGTACATGATGCTGTGGCCAACCCTCTTCAGGTGCTGGCAGGCTGGTGGGGAGAGGCCCGTATAAACAGACGGTGAAATAGAGATTCATGTTGCGGCAGAACAGAGGGAAGGCAGCTCATCCGGGTTTGGAGAATCACTCATGTCTCCCTGAGGGACAGCCAGCCTCAGTGACTGATGGAGGGTTGATGGGCATTACCAGGTAAGTAGGGTGGGCGGCTGATTGGTGGAGAAGCATCTGGGCAAGGCCCAAGAGAGGGAGGTGCTCAGATGTGCAGACCCAGAGGCACACTTTATGAGCCCCTCCCAGCTTGGGGGACGTGGCTGTGCAACCCCAACTTGGGCAGGCAGGACCCCAACTAGAGGCTTGGTACTGGAGTCACCTGTGAATCAGTTGGCCAAGTGACTGCAGAGAACTTACCTACCTTGAATAGCTGATTTCCTTACCATCAAGGTGATGATAAAATCTACTTGGCAAGGTGGTTGGAAAAATGTTAGGAATTCAAAATGAGATTAAATACCTGAGTGCCTATTTCAGCGTAGGTGCCTAATACATGGAAGCCGTTGTAATGGTAGAGCCATGTGGTAAAGAGCCGGCCATTGTCTCTCTCACCAACACCCTTCTTCCTGACTCCCTCCAACCCAGAGTTCCATGGGACTCGGCTTCTCTTGGCTCCAGACAGCTGGGTCAGTGGTGGGTCCCGGTCCGGGATGTGGTCTCAGCCAATCAGAATCCTTCATTTGTGAGTCTGAACTAACGGCCACGGGAAATGAGCCAGTAAGTGGCAAGAAGGTTTTGAACTGGGGCCAAAGCTGGTAGTGTGGCAAGTTAAAGCTGTATAAAAGCTTTTATTATTTTTTTATATAAAAAAGCAAAACAATTTTATTTTATTTTTTGTAGGAAGCTGTAAAAGCCAATTTGGAGAGAGACACAGGAGGCTGCATGAGATGATTCGCGTGCCAAGGTGTACAAGCCCATAGGAGGCAGAGTTGGCCTAGGCTCACTCAGTCATCTGGTTGCAAGGAGCGGAAACCCACTCACACTAACTAAAAAAAGAGAATTATTCAGGTCTCACAGACATCCAAGAATAGAATATTCAAGGCACCCAAAGAGGAATAGCATGCATGTGCAGGCAAAATTACATTAGATTTATCAATAAATTGGGGCACAGCGGGGGAATAAGTGATCTCTTTCTATTATTGTCTTAATAGCATGTTATGACTTTCAGTCAAGTTTTATAGTTTTCTTCATATAGGTCTTTTTGTTCTATTTCTAGGTACAGTGATACCTTGGTTTGCAAGCATAATTTGTTCTGGAAACAAACTACTCGTATTGCAAGGCATTGCTCACTTACCATGTTAAAATGTATCAGAAACATTTGCTTGTCTTGCGGAACACTCACAAACCACATTACTCGCAATCCAAGGTTTTCCTGTATTTCACGGTTTTTGTTGTCCTTCTAAATATAACCCTTTCCCAAAGCATTCTCTAGTTGGTTTTGCTGTCATCTAGGAGAACTACTGATATCTGTATATTTAACTCTGAACTAAATACGATCTGATCATTTTTCAGTGGATTCTATAGGATTCCCAGGTAGACAGGAATATCATCTGTAAATAATAATTTTCTCTTGTCTTCCACTGTTTTTAGCTCCTTCCCTTGTTCTTGTCATGTCTTCCTTATAGTCCATCCTTGTGTTTTGAGGGAGGCTTAGGAATTGGTTCAGCCTCAAGTGAGAGTGATAGGCCATCTCACGAGGTGGTCATTTTCACAGGTCACCTATTTTGGGTTGACCGATTTTAACTTCAGAGGGCCATCTATTCTCAAGTCTTGCCATCCTCTTATTAGACTTTTGAAGGAACACATTTTATATCCCTTGAAGATGAACCTAGATGAATGAGTATGATTGTAAGGGAAAACTGGAGAGAAAGTGTTCAGGGCCAGAGTTTATTGAGGATTTGTGTTTAAGATGAAGAGTCATGTTAATGGCATGTTTAGAAGATTTCACTTGATTCCAATTCAAAGCATAGATCACTGAGGTGGGGTCCCTTGGTCAGCCTGTCCAGTGTCTTAGCCAGCTCCAGCTGCTAGAACAAAACACCATAGACTGGGTGGCTCAACCAGTAGACATGTATTTCTCACAGTTCTACAGGATGGAAGTCTGAGAGGAAGTTGGGTTCCCCATGAGGGCTCTCCTCCCTGTTTGCAGATGGCGTCCTTCTTGCTGTGTCCTTACATGATGGAGAGAGACAGCTCTGCTGTCTCTTCTTGTAAGGACACCAATTTCATCATAAGAGGTACTCACCTAAACCCAATTACCCCTCAAAGGCCTCTCCTCCTTGTACCATCACACTGAGGTTAGGGCTTCACTATGTGGATTTGGGGGGACACTACATTTAGTCCATAATATCCACCTCTGCAGAAACAGGGCTCCCCATTCTCCCGATGTCACTTCCTGTAATGTGATCGGGCTGGATAACACAGTGAACTCTAGTCACTGCCCAGCTGACTTACCACACGGCTCAGGTTTGCACCCACTGCCTGTCTTTCCGCTGCTGCTTTAATGCTAGCTCTTTTTTCCTCATGGCTGTGACAGTGGACTCCTTCTGGAAGTAGCCTGGTCGTTTGCTAACAGATGCCTAATTGAATAAAAATGAAGAGTGAGTGAAAAGCTGCTCTGCTTTCTGTGACCTCCCTGGAAGATAGGGGACCACAGAGCAGGGATAATGATGGTTTAGGGCAGGGCCCTATCAGGCTTTATGGATAAAATGACTAGAGAATTGCCAAAAGTGGAACCACTGAACTTGTTCTCTCTCTG